TTAATGCACGTATTGAAATGGACTAGAGTGGGGTGAATCAATATTCCAACCATTAGATGACAATTTCCTTGTGCTGTTTTCCTACCTAATTTATGCACTGTGGTATGCCTACTGTTACAGCGCTGCAAGAATTGGTAGAATTGGAATTGGATACATTCTAGTGTTCCAGGAGAATTTGGTGGTCCATTTTACAATAAAGTGTTTGTAAACGGAAAACATTTTGTGTTCATTTTGGGCAGAGTGAGAAGATTTTTACCCTCTGACAAGTTTATATTGCTGTGTTCTCATTGGGGAGATTCACCCCTCTGTTAGTCCTGGTGACTAAGTGATGGGAAATAGTAACATTTTTTACCTGTTACCAGGAAAAGATGAGGGAAAGCCAACCAATAGGGACAAATGTTCCAGTAACAACTATCAAAAGGCAGATATGTCCCCTTATTATTCCCTGTTGCATCTCCAGGACAAAAAGTGAAGGGAAATATCCCCACCAGAGCACAGGTAGCAAAATAAGTTGTTAAGGGTTTTCACACTTCCATACGTTATCAAAAAAACTAAAATAATGTGGCTATACAAACACTTTAATGGAAGCACTTCTGCCAGTTGCCTGGCTGTCATGCTGATTCTTGAGAATCTTTACTTCCTGTTTGCTGTATGTTTGTTTTTGGTTGATGATTCAGGAATATTGAAGCCAGATACCTAGCACTTTCAGAAGGAAGCCAGCAATGCTATGAGTACTTATATGACAGCTGTACTTTGACAGTGTTGTGATAGGGTGTCGGAGTATGAAATATGCAGCCTGCTCTGGCATGGCTCTAATGTTTCTTGTGTATTTCCACATAAATTGTGGATAATCAATTCCAGAAGGTCATTAGACCACTGCTAGTAGAAACTTTAATCTTACACAGGATTTTGTTTATTCTGGTGAGAGTATTAGTGAATACTTCATGTGTGATTTAATTTGTAATAATTTGTTTTTGTTTCAGCAGTTAGGATTGTTTATTAGCAGCTATTAGACCCAATTTGTTCACCATGTAAGATGTCAGTGGTCTAGTATGTATGTTTAAATATATAGACTTCTGAGGAGGGCAGTTCAGGAAAGTTTAAACAGCCAAAAACACCTCTGACTATTTCATATTTGGCCCCGTGAAATGTGAAGTTGCCCCACTAACCAGCTTCTAAGTTTAGAGTGATTATGTCTCCACAGCTTGCTCCTCCACAAGGCCATACTCAAGGTACTTAACTGAAATAGCTGCTTTGGATGGCATTGTCTTTAGATGTTCAGATCACAATAAAACTACACATAATCAGTTGAGTGACTGCTCTGTGTAGATGTAGTCAGTGGAGCTGATTCATAGAACTAGTGTAAAGGCAAGACTTGCTTGTAGCAGCCAACCAGACTGCAGTTGTAATTTAGGTAGGGATGAATTTGAATACTAGGACAAGCAGGAGTGGGGCTTTATGCTGCCTATCTGTATTACAACTGCATATAATCCAGCTAGTAACATTATTCCTTCAATCTCATCATATCAGGTTGAACTTTCTTGTCATTGCAGAAATGAATAGTTTTGATTTATGAGGACTGGTAATCTCACTATTCGTTATTCATTATTGGCATGTCTTTGTCTCTAGAGCTTCACCCCCTGCTGGTTTCTTCAGCTTGCATCTCCCCTCTTTTTGCTGTGGTTCCATCTGATGATTGCTCCATCACTAAGTCTGTTCCTTTAGAGCTGCAGGGACACAGTGGCCAGTGGGTGGAACCACAGCATGCAGCATGGAGACACATACATCTGACATACCCAGATTACTTTGATGCTGAAGATTCCTGCAGTGGGGGTAGCTCATAAGACAGTGAAGACTGGAGTCACTGGTGGCAAGACTGGTAAGTATAATTACTGTCCTTTTACTGGGAATTTGTGGTTGACTTCTGATGTCTGTTTGTGAAGTCTTTCTTGACAGATTTGAAATGCAGTATTTGCATTTTGAATTGGATCTCATGATGCAGCGTACACCCCAACTGACTTCAGCCAGGTCCCAATTCCCTATGTACACCAACCCTACAGTGGTTGTAACCCATGCATAACAAGTGAGAAAGGCGACAGCCGGGGGGGGGGGGGGGTGCCCGCGGGGGGGGGGGGGGGG